CAAAAGGAGGAAATCTATAGCATTGAAAGCCACCAAGGAAGTTGTAGAGGAAAATGAAGAAGATGATGATGAATCACTTAATTTAGAAGATAATCCTGAACTTGCTCGTGTCATCAAACGCTTCAACAAATTTATCAAGAAAAGCTTCAAGCCAAGGAGAGACAATGGCAAGATAGCTACACCACCCAAATGCTATGAATGTGGAGAGATAGGGCACATCAAGCCTTATTGTCCTAAGTTGAAGCAAGGGAAGGACAAGAAGTTCAAGAAGAAGCAAAAAGCATACATCTCATGGGAGAGTGATCATTCATCTTCCGAAACAAGTGATGAGGACGAAGAAACAGCAAATCTTTGTCTAATGGCTACCGAGGAAGAGGTATCTTCTAATTCTTTTTCAAATCCTTTATCATCTTCGAGTGATTGCTTTTCATTGGATGATTTACATAGTGCATTTAGTGATCTATATGGTGAATTTCTCAAATCCACCAAAGAAACTAAGCTTGCTAAAGAAAATGTCACATCTTTAGAAGCTCAAATAATTGAACTTAATAAGGAGATGGATTTATTGAAACTTGAAAATAAGAAACTTGGCAAGGTTAGTATTGACACTCCATGTGCACAATGTAACATCCATGAAAAAGAGATAGCTAGATTGCATGAGCATTTAGGAAAATATAATAAGGCTAGCAAGGACATGCACTTTATAGTTCAACAAGGTCAATATAATAGAAATGGATTAGGATATAAATCTAAGGGACTTAAGAAATTGAACTTCATAAAAGAAGGAGAAAGACCTTTGGATAAAAATAATTCTAGGGATAATTCACAACGAAAATTTATTAGTAATCCTAAGAAGACTCAATCTAGAATAGCACAAACCCCCACTACTTCTAGGATGAGAAAACCTAGTGAGTCTAGGAATTACGTTGATCATAGGTTCACTAGACAACCTAGACAATATCCTAGAAATAGACAACCTAGCAACTTTAGGACACATAGGAGACACTCTGGCCCATATAGATATATGTATGATCCTAGAGTTGTTTGTCATTTCTGTGATCACGTTGGACACATAGCTCCTGTATGTTTTAGGAAGCTTAGATTGATTGCTAAGGATAGGAAGAGGGCACACATTGATATTTATGATGTTCATACTAACTCTCAAGGACCCAAAAAGATTTGGGTACCTAAAACCCCTAATTAAATAATTATACAGGCGTGCTTGAAGGCATCAAGTGTACTATGGTACCTTGATAGCGGATGCTCCAAGCACATGACCGGAGATGCATCCAAATTTGTTTTTCTAAAATCAACAAGAAGGTATAGACTTTGATGAGACTTATGCCCCTGTAGCGAGATTAGAAGCCATTAGATTACTACTTGCGTATGCCGCTACTATGAATTTTAAATTGTATCAAATGGATGTCAAGAGTGCTTTCTTGAATGGTTTCATTCAAGAAGAAGTGTATGTCGAACAACCTCCGGGATTTGAGGACTTTGAGTATCCAAATCACGTGTTCAAACTGAAAAAGGCTCTCTACGGACTTAAACAAGCTCCAAGAGCTTGGTATGAATGTTTGAGTTCGCATCTCTTGGAGAATGGATTTCAAAGAGGAAAGGTAGACACCACACTCTTCATTAAGCATAATGCTCTTGATATGCTTTTAGTACAAATCTATGTTGATGACATTATTTTTAGTGCTACAAATGATCTTATGTGTGAGGAATTTACTAAGATTATGCAAGGGGAGTTCGAAATGTCAATGATGGGAGAATTAAATTTCTTCCTCGGTCTTCAAATTCGACAACTTGAACATGGGACATTTCTTAGCCAAACGAAGTACTCAAAAGAACTTCTCAAGAAATTTGAGATGGAAGATTGTAAAGAAATGGCTACCCCAATGAGTTCTCAATGCTCACTTGATAAAGATGAAAGTGGTAAGTCAGTTGATGTGAAACGGTATCGAGGTATGATAGGTTCTTTACTTTATTTAACTGGTAGTAGACCTGATTTGATGTTTAGTGTTTGTATGTGTGCTATATATCAAGCGAACCCTAAGGAATCTCATTTGACCGCTGTCAAACGGATCCTTAAGTATGTGAGAGGCACCTTGAACTTGGGACTTTGGTATCCCAAAGGTTCAACATGCACTCTTGTTGGGTATTCTGATTCCGATTTTGCCAGATGCAAAATGGATAGAAAGAGTACGAGTGGAACCTGTCACCTTTTTGGTTGTTCTCTTGTTTCTTGGTTTAGCAAGAAGCAAGTAAGTGTTGCTTTGTCCACCGCCGAGGCCGAGTATGTCGCTGCGGGGAGTTGTTGTGCACAAATCCTTTGGATGAAACAACAACTTTTGGACTATGGCCTTGTACTTTATCACATTCCTTTGCGTTGTGATAATATGAGTGCCATAAATATTACGAAGAATCCTGTTCACCATTCTCGTACTAAGCATATAGATATTCGACATTGAGTTTGTCGATACAACTAATCAGTTGGCCGACATATTTACTAAACCCTTGGACCGTGAGAATTTTAGTCGTATTAGAAATGCCTTAGGAATTTTTTCTATTAACTAAACTCTTTTAATTATTTTTATGGTTAATTGATTGAATTTTGTACTAACTTAGGCATCGGAGTGGTTTTTAATTCTTTTTTACAGGTTCTCACCCATCCACTCCTCTTTCTTACTCCATAGGAAGCATTTATTAAAGGGGAATGTTTATTGACTTTGGGTATTTGAAGAATTTCAAAGGACTGCTTCACTACAGTGGTTTATTCGAATAAATGCATAATTATTCAAATAAATCTGCTCCTTACAGATTCCAGTGTTGCGCCTCAAATTGATATATTCGAATAATTTGGTAACTATTCGAATAAATTGGATTCCAGTGTTGCGGGTTGTCAGATGTTATTCGAATTAATAGGGAACTATTCGAATAAATTAGATCTGATCTGATATTTTTAAAGGTCATTTATTCGGTCAAAGCTCCTTCACTTCTTCTCAGACTGAAATCGCCAATCCTCTCTCTCCCTCAATCGGCGACTCACTGGAACCCTAGTTGCAGGCTCTTCTTCACCGACGCATCTCCTTCCCTTGTCGCCAAGCTCTTCTTCCACAATTGGTTCATCCTCGTCACCAAGAACCCTAGGCGCGGCTTCACCGACGAATCTCCATACCTAGGCGCCAAGCTTTTCTCCGACAAATTCATGGCGTCAAGGACGAAGAGGAAGACCATTCGGCAACCTGATTCTTCCTCTCTCCCTGGTTCTTCATCTCAACCACAATCTACACCCGAAGTACCAAGGTTTGTCTACCCTCTTAATCCTCGGGTTTATTTTGAAGATGAAGCCGATTTGAAAACTTTCCTTGAACGAATCGTCCCTAGGAAGATTGACACTCCTAGGTATGTCGATTTGGCGGAGTTTGAAAGAAACCAAGATTTTGAATCTGTTTTGTCCAAACTCCGCTCCTCGGGTCTCCTTAATGTTGTCACCATTAGAGAGACTCAAGTTCCTTTTGATTATATTAAGGCTTTTTATGCGTCTCTCATCTTCAAACGTCGTGGTTCCCAATTTGTTGTTACAGCTAAGTTTTGTGGAAAAGAGGTTGTTGTTACCAGTTCGGAGCTTAATTCTATGTTTGGGATGTCCAATTCTGGAGGTGAGATTACCACCGTGAACAATGACCAGAATCCATGGTATGATGTTGATGAGCGTAAATGTTGGGAGGCTATGGATTTCACGCCCCAATTCAATTCATCCAAACGTCCAATGGTGAGCGGGATGACACCACCTCAAAGATTGCTGCAATACATTTGTTCTTATATCTTGCGAGGTCGGGTTGGAAATCATCCCTAAATGTCCAAGGATGACTCGATGCTCATCTATGAAATTCTCAAGCCGGTTCCCATCAATTGGGGAAAATTCATTTTGACCTACATACATGAACTTCTGTCGTACAAAGAAGCGAGCCCTTCCATATCCTCTTCTCGTCACTCATTTTTTGAAGCAAAAAGGTTTTGAGTTTACTAATGCTGAGATGACTAATGATACTCCTTTTTGGCGAATCCGAGTGGAAACCGTAACTCGTGCTCAGGATGTTGATGATGAATCCAGTGACGATGATGATGATGTTGTTGCTCCTACTCAGAAGCGTCCGATTTCCTATAGAGGCAGGGTTTCTCTGCCGATGATATACGATGCCATGCTAGGACTCCAAACCTCCCTTGACAACTTGAAGATTCACCAGGCTATTCATGGTTATAACTTGAACAAATTGTTGGTCAAGTCGGGAGAAAATTGGGAGGTTCCATCGATGGATGCGTTGGAGCCATATATGAAAGGTAACCATGCAAGGATAGGCAGCGGAATATAAAGATTATAACATCCTAACATGATTATCTTGCCCAGAATCACGTACTAAAACTTATAGTAAATAAGAAATTTATACCTTTCTCCGTAAGCGGTAAAAACGAAGAAGTCGTAGGAAGAGCGTTGAAAGTGCAAACGTAACCGTTCAAGATGACGTCCGAACCAACCGAGTGGTTTTCAACTTTTTATGATTTTTTTTCACTCTTTGGCATGTTTAAACGGTTCTCCAACAAAAACACTTTGAAAACCATCTTTCGCTTTTGGTCGTTTGACAAAAATCATTCAAAACGGCATAAACTTGGCTAGCCGTGGTTTTCACTCAAATGACGTGGTTTTTAAAGCGTCTCACTTGATTTCTTAGCCAAATACATCAAATAAGTGTTTTAAACACTTGAATTTTACTTTGGAGAACTTTGTATTTTTCGGTCGGGTTTCAGTGCCGGTCGGCTAAGCCATGGTTCTGGGCTAGCCATCCACCCAGCGATGGGAAGATCTTCCCATAGATGGGTAAGCAGTCCCCCAGCGAAACTGACTTCCAGAACCATGCCAAACAGCGATGGGAAGTTCTACCCATCGATGTTAAAGCCTTGGTGCAACATTACCACAAGGCAGAATGCCCTTACCCAGCGATGGGAAGCTTTACCCATCGATGGGAACCCAGCGATGGGAAGGCTTAACCATCGATGGGAAGGCATGACCGTTG